GGGATGGTCTCCCCTGGGAGCCGCCAGTGGTTCCTTCTGATCCCGCCCTCCAGAACAGGGGGGGAATAAATTCCTGCCTCCTGAAGTCACATAATGTGTGGTGCTTTGTCACAACAGCCCTAGCAAGCGAAGCCACACACGTGGCCGTATCTGCGGGCGCAGGACCCGAGAGCTGGGCAGCGGGCTGTGTCCTGGGAGAGGGCATGTCAGCAGCCAGCACGGGAGGACAGAGCACGGGTGTGGCCGTGGCCGTGGTCTCTGGCTGGTCCTTATCGCTCCTCCACCTCGTCCCCCCCCACACCCCCCACCCCACCCACCTCCAGCCGGGACTCATTTTCACTCTGATTTGATTCAGATGAAATATCTAGGCTTTATTAATCGTTCATCTATACTGAAGACATATATAAAAATTACTTCAGTTGTATGTATTCTGGTTTCCCAAGGTGCTGACCTTAGTCTTGTAGTTAAAGACTAATTTAGTGTTTGTCATCAAAAACACGAGCTACTTTAATCAATACACTGTGTTGGGCTTGTGTGTAAAATGAACATTTAAGTGTTGCTGCCATAATGATTGTTTTTAAATTACTGAACCGAGACTTCCCCTTCTGCTCCACACAGTCCCCCCGGTGGACAGCGAGATTAGCCTTGAAGTCTGCAGAAAAGGCTGACTGGGTCAGGAGAGATAGAACATGATTACTAAGTATTAAAAACAATGGTATCTTTTGTTCCAACTAAACTCAGGGAACATTAACGGTAGAGAGACGGCATCGTTTAAAACGAGTTCCAATTCACTGGAATATGTGTACCTGTTATATTCAAGACAAGCCCGGAAACACACACAAAGCCCAAGTCCTGGCTTAGATGAACTATTTATGATGACATCTATGGTGTCAGTCAGTCATGTTGGGCCTCCCCTAGCAGGTCCTGGGACTACACCACCGAGGAGGGCACCTCTGACAGCTTGATGGGTGCCCACGGGACAGACACCCCCACCCCATGCAGTGAGCCTCCGCCCTCCCCGCTGCTGGTGCTGACACTCCCTGATTCGTCCCCACATCACACCCACCCCTGCCTCTCTTCCTAGCCCTGCTGCCTTCGATCAGTGAAATTCCCTCTGCCTACCTCTGCTGAGAATGTCTGTGCTCCCCAGAAGGTCCTACCGGGGGGCGGGGCATGCAGAAGGAGCCCCCACATCAAGCAGGATACCCTAACATTCTCTTTCCCAATGGCACCAGTTGAAAGGGTTAGCCTGGGACTCAGAGGCACAGTGACAGCACCTGTTCCAGGTAAAGGGAAATTTGACACCTGGCCTTTAACTCTATCAACATGTTAAGGCCATTAACTTAGTAGCATTTGCAAAGACTCTGCCTTATCAAGGAAGGTTCTAGAACCAGGACTGGTAATTCTTGGGATGGAGGGGGAGCATTATCCAAGTTAGCACAATCTACTACAGTGCTATTATCCAATTTAGCACAATCTACTACAATGCTATTTTCAAACCTCTGTTCTAGTTAATGTCGCCAATTTCTCACTTACTCCACTAACATCTATTGGGATAAGTATTAATACTCTTTCAAACATGATCTATCCCCAAGAAGTTTGTACCCTAGAAAAGTTTAGCTTCCTATTTATTTAGCTTCAGTTATTTTTTCCCTCTTGTCTGGTGAGAGTCACGGTCCAGAATTAATGAAAAAGTCCATGACAGCAGTAACTCAAAACCTCACAAATGTACATGTTAGAATGATAGAAGACACTCGATTTTAAGCCACACTTGAGTCAGACAAATAGGTGCCTTTTGGGAAAGTTTTTGCAATTCCCTGTGAGTTCTAAAATAACCTCAAGGGCAGGGTTGGTTTTAAAATGGTTATTTTTAAGAAAAGTCATCTCAAAACTAAAATAAAAGTCTCACTATCACAATGAGAATATGGGGAAAGGTGGCTATTTCTATAACAGTAGGAATACGTTTAAAAAGACAACCCATAGAAACATGGACAAGATTCTCGAACCATCTCAAAACAAAGAGGACACAGAAGGCCGGTCAGCACCACCTCATTCAACATCAGAAAAAGGATCATTAAAACCAAAATGACAGAGCAGAACGAATACCTACCAGGAGGGCTGAGACCTGAGAACCCTGGAAGTTTAAATTTGTGCAGGATGTGACAGAACTCAAGTGTAGCCCTTTTGGGAGACTAAATCAAAACAACCAACTTAGGAGATGTCTGTCATGGGCAGAAATTGAACCTCCAGATAGGCCCAATTGGGATATGATATGCAACATCCCCTTTCTAGTTTTAGGCCCGGGAGACTTGTTCACAGCGATTCTGAGACAGTCAAAACCTCAAAACTGCTCAGATGCTCTTCGACAGGAAATGAATCGACACCCGTAGACTATTCATACAGCAGAACAATACTCTTGAAAATGAATGAATACCTTTAAAGAGCCTCACAAATGTTACTGTGAACAAATGAAGATAGGTGGAAAGTTGTAGGTATGTTATCATTCCATTTGTAGGCAACTGAAAAATTTTAGGGGGATAAAAATCAGGCGAATTTTTACCTTCAAGAAGTAAATAGTAACAGGGAAGGGTGGGATGGCGTGTCAATATACTTCCTTCATTGACCTATTATTGATCAAGAAAGTTCACTTCCTTAGAATTAAGGGGCAGAGGGCCCTCCCTGGTGGCGCAACGGGTTAGGACACAGCACTGCTAGCCAGCCGCAGCCACTTCAGTGAGAGTTCAATTCCCAGCCCCAGAGGTGACCCACGGGGCCCCGTGGACCTCTCCCGCTGCTCCCCTCAGCTGTGTACTTCGTCCATGTGCCTGTTCTGCTCACCACTCTGTCTCTGGTGAATCCTCTCACTGCCCCCTGCACCCCAGTTCTGTATGCACAAATAAATAAACCTTAAAAAAAAATGAAGGAGCAGGAGGGCAGCGCAGTGGGAGCATCTGTGCAGTGGCACCGAAACACCTGCCTCCTCCCAGCCCCACTGCTCAGGCCAGTGCCCCTGGGGAATGTCAGCTTTCACCATTTGCATTGTAATAAGCACCAGTTTAATCGCCCCAATTTGTCTCTCAAGCCATGCTTTCTTTATTCACTGTGCTGTGACTAATAATTAGTAAGTTTCATGACCCCTAAAAAGTACTCAATCAATAATTATTAACGCAAGGGATTATATGTGGCCATTTCCATGAAGAGTGTTACCTACTTTTCACTTATTGACAGCAGAATATGCTTCTTAAAAAAAAAAAATCAGTCATTCAACAAAAGTATCACATTTACTTTGGCCTTCCCATCATGGTACTGTCATCAAAAACATGTGTGAACAAGGGGTGACGCGCACCTGGGCACCTGACCAGAAAGGACGAGAGCAGATGCAAATGTAAGTTGGGCTCTTTTTAGGTCTGTCCTGCAAAGTTAAAGCTTCCTCCGGGAGGCTTACATTCTCTGGAAAACTACATGTGTGTCTCTCTGCTCATTATCTTTGCTATAATAAAGTGACCATCAAATAAAATAAACGCCCATAGAAATTCATAAATGGTCTCCACGGCCCCTTCACAGTAACTATTTATTCTGTACCTAGCAGCACTGACCACAGCTAATGATGGTACTTGGATAGTTCTTGTAACTATTCTCACCAGTCTCCACAATTAGATTCATACAGGGTAGAAGCTTTATATATATTTTATTATGAACCACCAGAGTCTGGTTAACTTTAAAAAGTTTGGCCATTAAAGCATTTGTCATTTTCTGGTTCTAGGAAGGCATGACTGTTCTGGGGCTGTAGGAGGAACCCATTAGCAAACTTCCAGCACACAGCTGGTGCCTCATCTCCCTCCTGTCCCTATCCTGCATCCCTGTTTCCCTGGCCAATTGGCAAAAACAGGAAGAAAAAAATACTGGAAGGAGCAGAAAACATTTTACCAGAGAATTCATGTTGTAATAGCAGGGCTGGCAAATCACATGTTTGGAGATGAAATTTACATTAACTAGCAGCCTAAATAAAACACAAGCAACATTTAAAGCCATTCTGAGCTGGTAGCACCTTCCCAGAAACGAAAAAGCAAAGATGAATCCTCTCCAGAAGAATTCATCATTTACCTTGGCCTAAAAGAAGTGCTAGATAAAAGGCTTGAAAACATTAAGGTCACAGTGAAGGATGGATAAGCACAAGGATAAAGATGAGCAGGGCCGGTGAAAGAAGGATAAGAAGGGGGAAGACGGGGAGAAAGGAAAAGAACAGGAGGAGGAGAAAACCAGCACCGTGGGCAAAAGCGAGCAGAAAGGACAGATACAGCAAAAGTCAGATCCATGCACTGGAATGCATCATCTCTCTCTGTCTCTCTCTCTCTGTCTCTCTCTCTCTGTCTCTCTCTCTCTGTCTCTCTCTCTCTTTGTCTCTCTGTCTTTCTGTCTCTCTGTCTCTCTCTCTGTCTCTCTCTATCTCTCTGTCTCTCTCTCTGTCTCTATCTCTCTGTCTCTCTCTGTCTCTCTCTCTCTCTCACACACACACAGTGCATAATGCATTTAAATTAAAAATACATACAGATTTAAAACAAGATGATGGGAAAGAAGTATTCTCGCTAACCAAGTAAACTTGGAAAAGGAGCAAACAAAACTTACAACCATATAAAATATAACTGACTCATGAAAACTCAGTGCTTGACTTTAAAGACGCCCAAGGGGACTGGCCGTAAGGTCGACCACGTGCCCGCCCCCAGCCCCGACAGAGTCAAGCGGGGCGTGATGATGCCACACGTCTGCTTCCACGGGCTAACTACTTCCCCAGCTGCCAGGCCGTCTTATCCAGCTCTGCTGCTTTGTCTTTGAGGTCCCTTCCCGAATCCTTTGCCTCAGGTGTCCGCCCAGGTGCGCGCTCTCCCGGGAGAGCTGCCTGTGCACCGCCCTCGCACCTCTCCACAGAACGCGGCCGGCCGGCGGTTCCCCGCAGGAAGGCGACGCGCAGCCCGACCTCCCTGCACGCGGCCGGTACTCACAGTAGGCGCAGCCGTACAGCTCCACCCGCAGCCCGATGCGGCCCTCGGCGCCCCAGTCCAGCGGCACCACCCGCACGTAGCGCGCCACCACCGGGTGCTGCAGGTCGTGCCGGGCCACGCCGTCGGAGTTGGTGTTCCCGGGGAAGGCCTAGAAAAGGAAGAGGGGGGTTAAGTTCCAGGGAAATGCCGGGGGCAGAACACGCGTTGCGCGCCCAGAGTGGCCCTCACCATGCTCCAGGCCACTAGCAATTCAACAGAGGGCCGCGCTCCCCCGCCTGCGTCTGAGCGCAAGCCCATCTGGACCTGGGCCCGGGTTCCCTGCAGCCCTCCCTCCGGGTCAGCCACACGGCTGGCACCGAGGCCGAGGTGGGTTCTGTGACGGGGGTTTACGTCACACCACATGCAATCACCCATGTTTCCTGCTTTTTTGTTTGTTTGTTCTTAAGAATGTAATTATTTTTGGTAGGCACTTCTAGTTTTTTTCTTTTTTAAGATTTACTTATTTATGCATACAGAACTGGGGGCAGGCCAGAGGTGGTGAGAGGACTCACCAGAGACAGAGCGGGGTGCAGAAAAGGCAGATCAATGAAGCGCACAGCTGAGGGGAGCAGAGGGCGGGTCAGGAGAGGTCTGCCGCGCCCTGTGGGTCACCTCTGGGTGGGGGTCGAACTCGCACTAAAGCAGCAGCTGCTCACTTGCAGTGCTGAGTGTTAGGCCGCTGCGCTACTTGGGGGTGGAGGGGGGGCTGTTGCCTGCTTTTTAAAGACCAGGCTTGATGCTGGAGAGATGGAGGCCACAGCGAGGTCCCAGGAGCACTTCCCATCCCAGGCTAGAAAGCCATGAGAGCTTTAAGCAAGACATTTCACAGATAAGACTTTTAAGCTGGGGCCCTAACATTCTGCCATGACTAAGGGGAAGTTCCCAGGAGAAAGCAGAGACCACCTGGCATGAAAGTCGCGTGGCAGCAGGTGGATCACCAGGGACAGGCGGCCCGAGCTCAGGGAGTGAGGCAGTGAGTGCGGAGAGGGGGCACAGACAGGTCTACACCCGGGACTCCAGCCACATGAAACCAGGACACGAAACAAAGCCCCAGACGTTAAGGGGAAGGATGTCCTAAAGGAACTCTGCAGAGTCTTTCAGACTCTACCCCTACTCCAGTGATGGGAAACTACAACTCCCAGCAGCACCAGGGAGAGAACTGGGCGGACCCAAGGGCGGAGCTAGCAGGAATGCTGGGACATTGGGGGATAAATAGGACGTGACTGCGGCTCTCTCCCTCTGGGAAACAGCTCTCTGGGCCGCGTGACTCGGCGTGCTCAGTCAGCCTAGCCGGTAAGGTGTTCCAGTGACTTTGTATCCTGCTCTCTTTCCCTGTGTTGTTTCCTATACCTCCTTTCCCCTTCTGTAAATAAACCCGTTGTTGACCCTTTTGTGTGTCCCTGCAGTACACCCGAATTGCGAGCGTGGGTGAGGCCCACAGACAGGCGGCCCAGTCCACTCTGGGCTGCCCTGTCACAAAACTACTGGGGACTGAGGCCCTCTGTCCACAAGTTCCTGTGGCTGCTCTGCTGACATAAAGGGACACCTCAGAGGGAGGCCAAGAGGCCCCAAGTGAGGGCCCTGATGCAGCATCTAAGTCCACAGACCCATGCACTGGGGAAAACCTCTTGCTTTTTCTGTCATGTAGCCAATTTCCTCCTTTATCTATTTTTTAAGGAAGTAAGAGTTTTGGCTAATACCAAGAGTGCTGAAGGGAGAGATGAGGGGTACAATTACATGTTCTGCAGTTGCCATTTCATCATCATAGAATAAGTTTACCCACTGTGATGCTGACCTCTGCTTGAATATCGAATCTTCATCTGGGAAAACATTTCTTCTAGTCAGACAACACAGTGATGTTTGTCACTGTGTATCTGAATATTAAATGCAACACTTAGTAGTTTTTTCTACCTCAGCTGAAATGTGCACTTGACTTCTGAAACAACACATCTTCCCCTTTTTTTTTGTTTCTGAAATTTTGACACAATTATCCTTTTCTATTCTCAGTTTCCCAAATTGTAGCCTTAACTGTGGTCATTAGCCCTGTAAGCTCTTTCAAACACTTTGATGAAATCAAAGTCACTTACACAGCTGATTCTTATGGCATCTTTAAGATCTACACCTCTGCATCAAAAAAACTGAAAAGCTAAGATAATTTTGAATCCTTCTTACATAGACCAATGTCCTTTAAGATGCAACCTTCCTTTAAACAAATGTCACGTGGCAGTCTATTTAACAGCCACATGAAGACACCAGCCAAATGCATCACATCAGACAGAAAAATCCATTATGGAAGTTTGTGAACTACAGGTCACATATATGAAATCTGCTTTGCCAGCTGTGAGTGGTACAAATGTGCAGAAGAAGTTTCTCTTGTGGTCGATGTTACTAGAAGTTTCTCTTGTGGTCGATGTTACTAACAGAGTACTCATGTAACCTGTGGAACTTTCTGCTTTGTTAAAATTAGAGGTGTTATGAACAGTTGGGCCTCTGCTCTCCTAGAGCGAGTCCTATAAATTGTGCAAACACACAGCACACTTAGAACTTTTCAAAAAATTCTGAGTTGCTCAGAATGCTATTTTAGAATAAGCAAGTATTGATAGTGTCAGAACTGAAAGTCTCATGCCACATCTGCTCCATATTTCCTGTAGCAGGAGCAGAGGATTAACAGTGTGAGAGATGAAGACAAACTTCTGTTGCCTGGTAAACTGCAATGTTTGAGGCTTCCAGGCTGCTTTATCTCACAGCTGATGGCCTTTTTCTTTTTCTGCTCTTTAATTTTTTTTTTTTAAACAAAGTTTGGGAAATGTGAAAACCTATTAGCTCACAGATGTTAACAGAATTGCTGTGGATGACAATTAGTTCATGTGTATCACTTGCCAATCCCTGAGCTAAGAGAATCTCTCCAATGAATAAATTGTCCTTTCAACTCACATCTGAGGCAAAAATCTACAATCACCAGGAGAATTTCAGCTACTTGGGTTTAAAATCCAATAAACTTTGGGAAAGCATTTTGTCACCCCTTGAAGCATATAATTTATCAGTCTGGAGAAAATACAGAGAAGTCAGAAGGATGTTGTGTGTGATGCAGGGACTAGCATCCTCCCTCACGTTCCCACCAAGGGTTTGAAGTGTAACTTCAAAGTAATTCACTTATATGGACTAAAATGTGACCACATTAAAAAACAAAAAGTTTGAGTTTAAACTATTAATCTTAATTATCCCACCAACCACCTGTTGGGCAAACTCAAATAGAGTTGCACAGGGACAAATATACTATCGTGGTCAGAAAAAGGAACTTGTAATGGTGATTAAGTCTACTGAGAACAAATCAGTTACAAAAAATTTAGATCTCACAACCTAAAGGAGCTCTGAGACAGAAAACTATATAGATTTCTTTATAAAGAAAAGGAAAAAAGTAAAGAGTAATGGTTAACCTAGCTATAGGAAATCAGAAGTTAGGAGAAAACAAGACCAGAGTTATCACACAATTTATATGAAAATAATTAAGAGTGGAAACAATCCAGAAGAAAGCTTAAAGATCACAGGGGGCAAACTATGATGGGCTGTAAGACCATTAACACTGGAAGGACTCTCGTGACTCACCTCCCAAGAAGACAGGACAAAATGATCAGAATCGGAAATGAGGCAAAAACACACTAGAGACAGAAATCAAAACTAAACTGAATGTGATGAACAAGCTTTATGCTACAATAATTTTAAAAAATGAAAAAGAAAAAAAAAAGGTCACAATCCTGCAAATATATAACTTAACAAAAATGGCCTAAGAAACACAATATACACTGTTAAAGTGCCTCATACACATGACACGTGACGGACGTCAAGCTGCTATTAACAAACGCTGGGAGATGATTCCGCAGCGGCTGCTGAGTTTCTGCACCTCGCGAGTTGAAGTTCAGCTCTGCGTGATCTCTTTAAGGGAAGGGCAGGTAGTGTGGCCATAAATACCTGTTTCCTTCTGGGGGAGAGGTCAGTTTACAGTCCCGTACAACAGGGAATGTCGCTTCTGGGGGAAAACGCAGGTGCATCTGCTTGCTCCTCATTATAAGAGAAACAGGTCTCCCCCAAGCCAGGCTTCTCAGCCGGGCTCCGTGGGCGTCGCTGTGACTCCTCCTCCTGGGCAACCCGCATCGGCCCTTCTGGTTTAGGCGCAAGGAGAATGGGTGTGGCATCAGGAGGCTCGCAAATGCCTCAGATCACAGCAGCTCTCTGAAAACGCCAGGCCCTGACAGAAAGGCGGGACATACCTCCTGGAAATAAAAGACGGCGCAGACCGATGTGGAAAACAGCCTGGTAGCTTCCTAACACACCCGGTAACAGCCCCATCACTCAAAGAAAAGAAAGTCAATGTTTAACGAGGGCCTGAATGCAAACGTCCCTGGTAGCTTGATCTGTAATCGCCCGATCTAGAAATGTCGCAAGTATCTGCACACCTGGGCCATCAGGGGCTCCCTCCACAGTCCAGAGAGGGTCAAGTCCTGCCTGGGCCTGTTCCCCCTCCTCCCCCGCGTCCCCCTATTTTTCATTAGTCCAGGTCCCCTTGGTTCTTTTGTATCCTAATGCTTTCTTCAGTACTTTTGATGGTACAAATCAACTGTCCTGATGCAAAAGAGAAATCAAGAAAAGCATAAGGGTCACTTATGTTGCCCTCCTCAATACCAGATCTTCCCTTCTGAAGTGGCAGTTTTATAAAGTCTTATCCCCCACTTTTTCCTTATTCTCCAATTATTCGTTTCCTACACTAATATGTGAAAATCAAGGTGTTCTTTGATTCTGATTTCCTGGGACCACTTTGGAGCACGGAGAATCTGCAGGTTTATCTTTGAGCTGTCCTCTCATTTTTTGGTTCTGGGGCAGGAAACATTTAAATTCTGTTCTGTCTCTGACTTCTCTCAGGAGATCTTGTTCTAGTCTAAATATCAGAGGCTCGCCCTACATCCATGTCTCTCCCACGCTGGATTTAAGTTCCAGGGAAGAATCTCTAACTGCACGCCAGGCGTCTTTATTGGGAGAACTGGATGTTTCCAGTGTAAGAAATCTTTGCCTTCTACCCACACCACCTGCTCCATTTTTAACTTTCCCCTTGCT